AGGTGATTTGGTGAACAAAGCGACCCAACTTTGGCTCTATCTGTGTACCTCAGAGCTAATGTTCCCAATAAGGTGAGATGTCTTTTTTTTTTAATAGGGTAATCTTGTTGAATTCTACAAATACTCCGTTATTGGGAGTCTGATGATCCATACTTGAAGGATTAATATTGGTATTCAATGTTTGTCTTTCAGGTAATCCAATGTTTTGCAGAGACTGGTCAGTTCCAGAAGATTGTATTGTATGCCAAAAAAGTTGGATATACTCCAGACTATGTCTTCTTACTTCGTAATGTGATGCGTGTGAATCCAGAGCAAGGTGCAGGCTTTGCACAGATGTTGGTTGCTGATGAAGAACCACTATCTGACATCAATCTGGTGAGTTAACTTTTATCAAAACATAACAGATAACTGAACAAGTACAACTGTAAAATACTTTGTTTTCGCTGTTTTTTTCTGACAGCATGATTCAGTGAAAATAAAATCAATCAAATATACCTTTTTTTCTATATTGTACCTTTAACTCCTTAAAAATCAGTGAGTGAAATTTGAGCACCACATAGCGAGTGGGGGCCTAAGACTGAGTTATAGATATCATTGCTAGCAGAATGAACTTTTGTTTGTTACTATATACATGATGTCCAGCACTGAGAAAACTTACTGTCCAACCCATGAGCTCAGAATTGAGTAAATGCACTCGTCACCAATAATGATCTACAATAATACGTGGATGAGGGCAACAACTATTCAATCATGTTCTTTTTCTAACTTGTCACTATATCTGTGAATGAGAACAAAAGTTAAACAAACAAAAGTTCTATTTGGTATTGTCAAATGTGTTCAATTAATGTTGTTGTTTTTGTTGACCTCTCTTTAGATTGTTGATGTATTCATGGAGCAGAATATGGTGCAGCAATGTACATCATTCTTACTAGACGCATTAAAAAACAACCGTCCCTCCGAGGGCCACTTACAGACCCGACTGCTTGAAATGAATCTGATGTCTGCACCACAAGTAGCTGATGCCATATTAGGCAATCAGATGTTTACTCATTACGATCGTGCTCACATCGCTCAGCTCTGTGAGAAAGCTGGTTTATTACAGCGTGCTTTGGAACATTATACCGACTTGTATGATATCAAGAGAGCTGTAGTTCATACTCACTTACTCAACCCTGAGGTAAGTATCGCACCATTTTTTGTTCACTGCGAGAATCGCGCGCTATGCGTGAAATCGAACGTAATGGCGTCAAACATCGCGTGGGATTCGACAAAGGTGAAAGTATTTTGGGGAAATTTCCATGCTTGATAATGTGTTGTACATATTTGATGATAGGCAATTTCGATGAAGTAAGGGTATTCGAAAACAATATTCCTCTGTTGGAGATCGGCTGGTCGATGTGAGCTACGAAATAAAGAAATTCAAGTTCAAAATGAAATCATTTGATTATGTGCGTCTTTCATGCAACTCGCTAGATCTCGCAGTTGAAAGGAAAATTTTTGATATGTTTATTACCATGTGATTATATAAAGAATCCTGGGCGTGGTAAGGTGGCCTCACATCAGAGAGGTTATGGAATGATCTTCTCAAAAGTATGAAATTGAGTCACCAATCTGATTAAAACAGGTACAAGTGTTTTAAATTTTGTAGGTTATTCGCTCACATATATCTGACTAACTCAAAGAGAAGGTACATTTTACGGGATTGCTTCCAATTAAATTACTTGGCCAGAATGTACCATCATCTTATTGGGTACATACAGCTCGCAAAGCTTTGTTTAATCTGATTAATCTGATTGGTCATTCAAAATTATGAGATTTGAACAAGACTCCTTATGTAAGTTGGTCTGATCATGGGACCCGATTCTATAGTCAGATCTGTGTGTGGCGTTCACAGTAAGATGAAATGACAAAAACAATAAAAGTAAAGTAAGGAAATAAAACAATAATCACTATTACAATGTTTTAGTGAGTATTTGCTCACCGCCAAATATCCAGTATTAGCTTTAAGAGAATGACATCCTATCTTAGATGGGGTGATAAAAAAACTGTCAGCCCAGTCTACTGTTTGTGTCCTCAGTGTGTTGGAGAATTGTGAGATGATTTGCTTGTTTCTGTCTTATTGATTAAGAAATAAATGAAATTTGTATTACAATATATATTTACCAATTCTCATTTTGTTTTATTGCATAGTGGTTGGTGAACTACTTTGGTTCCTTGTCCGTGGATGATTCCCTGGAATGTTTAAAAGCCATGCTTCAGGCCAACATTCGTCAGAACTTACAAATCTGCGTGCAAGTTGCCACAAAATACCATGAACAACTGAGTACCACATCACTTATTGAACTTTTTGAGTCTTTCAAGAGTTATGAAGGTAAGATTTCCCATCCCCATAAAATTTCCATGAGCATCACATAGTACTTAATGTGTTACTGATGTTGAAGGTCTGACTGGCATTTGATTAAACAGTAACTAAAACAATGCATATTCATATATAACAAATGAACTGAAAAACTTTGACTCTTTGACAGCCAGTTATTTTTCTCTCCAAAAATTTAGCATAGATTTTTACAAATTTTACAAAATTTTCATAATATAATTTTTGATTAAAATGTTTGTCAGTTTTTATCAGGAGGCAAGACTATATACAGAAATATTTTTTGGTTGGTACCAAAAGCTGACAATGGCGCACAAGGGGTTAAAAAACATTTTTGCTACCAGTTCCCACTTTTCATCACAAATTCAAAAATAGTCTCTTTTATAGTCTGCACGTTTCTTAAGAAGATTGGGACAAAAATAGCCAAATTAGTCTGGTGGTGAAAACTATACAAGTATAAGTATACATTTCCTTCTGCAAAATACTATATTTGTAAAGCTATAACTATCAATATACCAACTTTATAGTCGCTCTTTCTTTGTTCATTACAGGTCTGTTCTATTTCTTGGGATCTATAGTGAATTTTAGTCAAGATGCCGATGTACATTTTAAATATATTCAGGTAAGTCTTATAATAGCGGCTTCATAGCAAGGAGATTTCCAAATATTCTATTTCTTTAATAATAGATGATATGGTGTATATCTCCAAGATTAAAAATGTTTCACTGACAGGTGCTTGCCCCATATGCTGTGGTCAACTGCCTCGCATTGAAACACACACACTATCTACTGAAGCACTGTATTTTATTTTGAAATACTTCGGCAAAGAACTAAATTCAGTAAAATTTAGTAGCTTTCAAAACTTCTGGTGTTTACACAGGTGCATATTCATGGCTTTAAGAATTAAATTGAATATCACACACTTGTAGGCATCTCTAAAAATTAATATTAACCCTAGCTACATAGACTATCCATTCTTGTCTTAGGGCTTCAACTTTTTATTTTCAAAAAGACTATTAGAAATTTACAAAAAAAATTTACTTTGTTCTTACATCAAACAGTATGTAGTCATCAAATTGAGCAATGTAACATCTATTTTCACACTTTCTGGCTTGGCTTTAAGTTCTTACGAAACCTGATGGACTACCCAATATTGCCATGGGACTGAAAAAAATAGCTCACCAGGTTTTCAAGAAAATTAATTTCAAGCCCTGATGTATTATCAATTCAATTTGTCTGGTTGTTGTGTTCATTTTTAAGACTAGGTCTGTAATCAGCTCAAATACAAATGCAATGACATGAAATTTAAAGTTTTGGAAATTAATTTATTGCAGTATATTGTTTTGTTAAACAAAATTTGTATGTTTTTTCCTTCAGTCTGCATGCAAGACTGGTCAAATAAAGGAAGTGGAACGTATTTGCCGAGAGAGTAACTGCTATGATCCAGAGAGGGTGAAGAATTTCCTGAAAGAAGCCAAGCTAACAGATCAGCTGCCATTGATTATTGTTTGTGATCGTTTTGATTTTGTTCATGATCTGGTGCTCTATTTATACCGTAACAATCTGCAAAAGTATATTGAGATTTATGTACAAAAGGTAAGCAAATATTAAAGAAGTTATGAGAAATGTCGCAAAGTAGGACAGCAAGGTGATTGCTTCAGCTGATATTGTAATTATACTTGTTTTTCCTGCTTTGCAGTCTCATTTAAGTTTGAGATTCAGAATTCACGAGATTCCCAACTGCTGCTGTTGTTGTTGCTTTAAAACATGGTTAATACAAGAATACTGCAAATTATGCCTGAAGACAGTACGGACTGTAGATCGGAACTGTCTGAATGTGAACTTTGCAGTATCTTTGTAATTACCATATTATACATCTTCCCGACATGACTGCTTAGTCTATGGAGCCCAGAGCTGTGCAAGTTGGTCAAAGTTATTGAAACTTTTTTGCTACCAAATGTCAGCCATCTTGGAAATACTGTATAATTGTTACATATTTAGAATTGGCATTTTGTAAGAAGATAGGATGCAGATACCCCACGCAGTACCACAATGGTACAACCCTGTTACCGAGAGTATTGACAGATGTATAATAATATGAGCTTATTACGAGGATTTCTCAAAGTATGCACGAAGACATTACATCGGGAGTATCAACCAACGTGCAGTGTAGGTTGATGCGACGGCATATTATCTGAGTGCATACTTTGAGGTATCCCCGAAAAAACCTTATTATTATACATCTTTTCCTTCCAAAGGAATTCATCATGGGAATGCTGAAATCCAAAATGGGAGTGCTGAAATCCAAAAAGTTTAGAACAGAATCAGCGAACTTCTTTGTGTTGATTCCGGTCAAACCCTGGTGGCAGCCATGTTTGTTTTTATTATTAGGACGCTAACACGCGTAATTTCTTAATATGGTAGGATGAAAATACCCTGTAAAATACCGTAAAATTACAGCACGCTGTAATACTGTATATGCTGTCAATATGGCTTAGTAAATATATACACATGTGGATTTCATGTTTCTGTACATCCTATTTTATTCTGCATTGTGTTGTTCTTGGTAGGTTAATCCTTCTCGATTACCTGTGGTTATTGGTGGTCTATTAGACGTAGATTGTTCTGAGGATGTGATCAAAAGTCTTATCATGGTGGTAAGAGGGCAGTTCTCTACTGATGAACTTGTAGAAGAAGTTGAAACAAGAAACAGGTAAAAAGACGCTTGTACTGAATACTACAATTGTAGATCTACAGTTATTAGGTGCAGCGGTAATACTTCTCCAATAATATTTTACAAATATTGACATTTTCATGGCATGTTTCGTAGGTGTACAACTTCTGCTCAAACTGTATTATTGTTATTCAGGCTTGTATTTAGTAATAGGAGAAACCTTTGTTGATTTACTTAACAGAATGAAGTTATTACTACCATGGTTGGAAGCCCGTATCCATGACGGATGTGAAGAACCCGCTACACATAATGCTTTAGCGAAAATCTATATAGACAGCAATAATAATCCTGAACGATTTCTCAAGTAAGTTGATTTCTAATTTTTGTTCACACAGCTATTTGAGGTAATTCATGTTGTATGTTATTGGCATTGAACTATCTCATTACATCTTATTTATTCAGGGAAAATCAGTTTTATGACAGCAAAGTTGTTGGAAAATACTGTGAAAAGCGTGACCCCCATCTGGCTTGTGTTGCTTACGAGAGAGGGCAGTGTGACCGGGAGCTGATTAACGTTTGCAACGAGAACTCGTTATTTAAGAGTGAAGCAAGGTACCTTGTAAGAAGGCGTGATCCCGAATTATGGGCTGAAGTACTCAATGAAAGTAATAAGTTTAAAAGACAACTGATTGATCAGGTAGGTGGAGAGTTACCTTTCCTATATTATCACATTTCATATGTCTATTCTTTATTGTTGCATCGTGACAGCTTTTTAGTCTGCCCGTCATCTTAGATAAATTTTGATTTGACTGGCCAAATTTCTGCAAACTTGTCAATGAAACTTTGATTGAAAATTTACAAAATGGCCATAAATAATTAACCAAAAATAGACTGAGGCTACAGACAGACAGCCACTTTTTATTTTCTGTCTATAATTCTGCATGGTGACCCTTTTTCACAGGACTAATATTGTTCCAGTTGAATGGCTATTCTGTCTAACATGGCTCAAAGTTGTCACATGAATATCATCTACTGTGGAATACTTTATTTTAGCTGGAATTAATTTTCGCTGAAAAGACTTTTTGGCTGTTTTGTATGGAATTTATTTTCACTGATTTCTGACAAGTTGAATGTGAAATATAAGAAAAAGGTATATTCACTGGATTTTATTTTCACTGAATCATTCCTTCAGCAAAAATAGCGAAAATAAAGTATTTCACAGTATTGCCATATTATGGTTAACCATTTCTATACTCAACAATGACATTATTGTTATATTGTTGGTATCAACCTTTCTCACATTGCTGCCTTCCATTGCTGTATTACTATCTTTCATTTCTCTGTTGTTACAGGTTGTACAGACAGCATTATCTGAAACACAAGACCCAGATGATATATCAGTTACTGTGAAAGCTTTCATGACAGCAGATTTACCAAATGAACTTATTGAATTATTAGAGAAGATCGTATTGGAAAGTTCTGTTTTCAGTGATCATAGGTAAACTTTAATGTTTAATGTTTTAATTGCCATTCCACTGTTGCATGATACTGAATGGATTGACTTAATTCTGTGACCAGTCATATAACATGGCTTCCCCACTGGATACAATACCATAAATTACTTTTATTATTAGTCCCCGTTCGGACAAAGTCCGAAAACGAGGACTTATAATTCGGTCTCCGTCCATCCGTGTGTCTGTGCGTCCGTCCGTCCGGAGTCGTATCTCAGAATCCCTTGGACCGATTCCGTTCATTCTTTGCATGTGCCTAGTACTTTATGTGGGACATATGCACATACAGTGGTTTAGCGATTCGATTCAAAATGGCCGACTGGCAGCCATCTTGTTTTTTGAAAATGTTGTATTTTGGACATGCTTTGTCAGTTTTCATTCAAATTTAGTACATAGATCATACATGTTAGGATACATGTCCCCGACCGTCCGTGAGTTCCTGAGTCTGTCCGTGCGTGTGTCCGTCTGTCCGTGCGTCAGTCTATCCAACGTCATATTTCAGAATCCTGTGGACCGATTCCGTCCAATCTTTGCATGTGTCTTGTACCTTATGTGGGACATATGCACATGCAGTGGTTTAGCGATTCGATTAAAAATGGCCGACTGGCAGCCATCTTGTTTTTTGAAAATGTTGTATTTTGGACATGCTTTGTCAGTTTTCATTCAAACTTGGTACATAGATTATACATGTTAGGATACATGTCCATGACGATTTATTTCGCAATTGGATCAAAGATGGTCAACTGGCAGGCATCTTGTTTTTGTTTTTTTATGCGGTATCTTGGACGCGCTCTGTCAGTTTTCATTAAAATTTGGCACATACAATGTACATGTACTTTATACATGTCCATGACAATTTGTTTCAAAGGATGGCCGATTGACAGCCATCTGACTTTTTGGCCTTACTACTATATTTCCACAATTTATGTACCATTTTCATTCGTATTTGGCACATACATCATACATATCAGTGTGTTTCATAATCAGATGAAAGATGGCTGAATAACGGCTGTTTTTATTTTGGCCATATTACTATGACACGAAACACGTGTTTTGATGTAAATAAACAATCTGTTGTATACGCCATTTGGAACTCAAGTTTCAAGGACACGCTCGCGACAACCCCTCCGCTTTAATATGACGAGCACAAAGAGAACTTAACGGGGACTGTGTCATTTTCAATGACTTGTAGTTTGAATTAATTTTCGCTGAAAAGGCTTTTTGGGTGTTTTGTATGGAATTTATTTTCACTGATTTTTGACAAGTTGAATGTAAAATATAGGAAAAAAGGTATACTTGCTGGATTTCTGAACCATTCCTTCAGTAAAAATAGCGAAAATAAAGTATTTACAGTACATAAACTTATTATCAGTCATTGCTCATGTTGAAAGCTCTTAGTAAATACAGACAACTCTACATGGACCAACTATGTGACTGTCATACTTGCTGCACAGCGTTGCCACTAATCTCTATTAGATAAGCATCAATTGCATTTGTACACAATTCATATGGAAAATGTAACAACTACACTTTGTGTGGTCACTGTGATTCGTACAAATTACATTGATTTATAAATATGTGTTTAACAGATAATTAGGTTCCAATGATTTTTTTTTTAATTCCTCCTTGTTACCAGGAACCTTCAGAATTTGTTGATATTAACAGCTATTAAAGCTGACCGTACACGTGTTATGGAGTACATTAATCGGTTAGATAACTACGATGCACCAGATATTGCCAATATTGCAATTGGTAGTGAACTTTATGAAGAAGCTTTCGCGATCTTCAAAAAATTTGATGTCAACACCTCTGCTGTTCAGGTAAACGACTGTTAACCGTTTATTTTTTTTCAAGTTGGGAAAATGGTAAAATTTAGTAGCAGTAAATATTTTTTTTTTATCTTTAACAATACTGTTTATCGCAAAATTTATTTTTAAAAAATGCTGTACAATTACCATGCTGAATTTGATATGGGCAAAAATCGTACTTTTACAATTTACTGTCATTGCATTTTGTACCCAGGGCCTTAACTTCTTAGAGGCAATTGCCTTGATGTTTTATGAAATAGCAAGTAAACAAAAAATAGGACTTATTTTGACCATAGACACTGTCATTATGTACTTATACAGCCAATATGGTGCTATACCTATATGTGGAGGCAATTTTATCAAATTTGGAGTCTTTCAGATCTGATGTTCAAGTCCTAGAAACCTACAGTGAAATCACCTATATCGTGGTACAAATTCAATGTTGCAGGTACTTATAGAACATGTCAAGAATCTAGACCGTGCATACGAGTTTGCCGAGAGATGCAATGAACCTGCAGTATGGAGTCAGTTAGCAAGAGCACAGTTGAATGAAGGAATGGTAAAGGAAGCTATAGATTCCTACATTAAAGCAAATGATCCATCAACGTACATGGAAGTGGTGGATGCCGCCCACAAGTATGGTGAGTTATTGTAAAGCTAAACTTGGTGGCATATTGGGTAATGTGTCCTATGTTAGTTTACGAGGAAACATTAAATTATGTACAAAGGCAGTACTGTGATTATATGTGATTTTATGCAATCTTGTACAGCCCCTAGTGTATACTTTGCATAATCTCAAGACGACACAGATTGGTCAGGGCAAGTAATTGATAATTATGTTTTTTTTTGGAATGACAGTCATATATTTTTGTATGTTCATTTTTTGCGTATTAACTTTGCTAGGTAACTGGGAGGACTTGGTGAAATACTTACAAATGGCAAGGAAGAAGGCCCGTGATTCATACGTGGAAACGGAACTTATATTTGCCTTTGCCAAGACGAATCGTTTAGCCGAATTAGAAGAATTTATATCTGGACCAAACCATGCACAGATACAGCAGGTATGTTGATATGCCCGTTGAAGGCCCAATTCACTTGCCCCCGGGCAAGTGTGAATTGAAGGTGTGGCTATGCTAATGTGTGTCGTTAATCACTTGCATAGCCTATGACGCATCCTGTTTCAGCGGCCCAACATCACGTGACTTTGATTGACAGTAGTTAATTATTCAAGATTAGTAGCACGCCTTTCCCCGGTTCGCGTTTTAGACTTTTATCCGCCAAAATCTCAGCTCATACACTATTAATTGTCATAAATACTAAACACAGTCACTACTGTGATATTCATAGTCACATACATTCACTTTGGCACGACATAATCGACCTGTAAGTTTGAGAAAACACGTTTTTACCAGAGCTTGGCTGGAGTTGTTTACTACAGCTTGACAAGCAAGGAATCCCTATTGTTTAGGAGCGTATTTATAGTATACCTGGGCCCGTAACGTGATGTCTGGTCTCTGGATGAAACTTACTGCATTTTGTTAGAATACATTTGAATGTCGTTTCTCATTATTTGCTGTTATTGTTCTTGCAGGTTGGAGATCGCTGTTACGATGACAAAATGTATGATGCTGCTAAACTGCTGTACAACAATGTTTCTAATTTTGGGCGTTTAGCTTCCACCTTAGTACATCTTGGGGAGTATCAAGCAGCGGTTGACAGTGCTAGGAAAGCTAACAGTACAAGAACATGGAAAGAGGTAAGACTACATGAATGCATCAACTACCAAAGTGTCTAACAATATATGGTGTAAAATTGTTATAGCCTCTTAAATAGCTATATAAATCTATTTCACAGGGAACAGTTAGTAGACAACATGTACTTTAGAATTATTAATTTTTTCTGGTATTTTTAATTTCACTTTGTTGAGTAAATTCAATGGATTTCAAACTGATTTGCTATTGAAACCATTCTATTTAAATTTACATGTTGACATGGATTTAATTTCAGTGGAAATATCAAAATTTGTTGTGTCTACTATAACTATTTTTTATTTCTCATATAGGTGTGCTTTGCGTGTGTAGATGGTGAGGAATTCCGTCTAGCTCAAATGTGTGGTCTTCATATTGTCGTACATGCTGATGAATTAGAAGAACTTATTAACTACTACCAAGATAGGGGATACTTTGAGGAACTTATTGCCTTACTTGAAGCAGCTTTAGGTTTGGAACGTGCCCACATGGGAATGTTTACAGAACTAGCCATCCTGTATTCCAGATATAAACCACAGAAGATGAGAGAACATTTAGAATTATTCTGGTCAAGAGTTAATATTCCAAAGGTAGGTGTTTATTTTTGTGTTATCCTTGGGGGCGGACATCCGGGCATTTTCACCGCTTGGCAACCCTCGCGGTGAAAACTCGCAGAAAACGATACTTAGAGATGGTTGTTGAGACTCCCCTGTACAGTGTAACAAGATTAGCCCTACGTGTGTAACATATATAAATTTGGTTGTTCAGGATTACTTCAAAGTTGAGTTTGTATTGTTTTCTCGAATTTTCATCAGCTCGACGGCGTTCCACAGCAGCACGCACAGAGCCCATAGAAATACATGTACAGTGGTGCGCGTCTTAACAACGTGGAACGTCTGTGACGTAGCTCCGCCCCTGAGGATATGTTTATTTCTGTGTTATGAATACTTGGACGTTGAGGGCACTGTTTATGAAAGTTTGGTCTAAATACAGAAACCGCTTGTTACTTTGAATGCCCAGAGATGTTTTGCATCATGTAACCATTTTCTAGTTGTCCAGCATATATGTGAATACAGGAGATTCATGTTTGGCTGGTGTTAAGCAAGTACTAAGCTAGAAATGTGGCTTTAGGGATGTAATGATAGAAGTACAAAGTTGTAACTCTGCCTCTGGGAAGATTGTGGGGTTGAAACATGAATTAAATAAAGTTGGGAAATGGTACCTCAGACAGGGTTAGTCTAGGATGTGATGGATTCAACACTGTTATAGTAGACATTGCTCATGTACATCAGACTATTTTCGTAAATTGCATTTAATTTATTCACTGATCATTTTATTATAAGGTACTACGTGCTGCCGAGCAAGCTCATCTCTGGTCTGAATTGGTATTCCTTTATGATAAATACGAGGAATACGATAACGCAATAGTCACAATGATGGCACATCCCACTGATGCATGGAGAGAAAGTCATTTTAAAGATATTATTGCAAAGGTATGTATAATAAATAATAGCTGATAAGTTTTTGAGTTGTCTTAAAATCTCTCACATTGCCTTACTTTACATTACAGATGCATTTGTAACTTTAGTTACAACAATTTCTACAGCACTTTGTTCAGACAATAGTCATTGGGATTCACAAAAAATCATTAAAAATCACAGCAATATATCACAGTTGGTGTTAAAAATGTCTGTACACATCCTTGTTTGACCTCCTTGGCACGATACTCTGCATTTTATGTTTCATAACTTTTTGTTTTAATAAGATCTTTTAATCATAATGCTATTTTTTATGCTTTTAAAGCAACATAAGTTGTCACTTTCAATGTGGGTCCCATGCGATGATTATCATTATAACAGTTTTACATGAAATTCAAACGTTCACTGCATGACGGCAGTGACATTTTAATCAAATTCAGCATTTCTCGCTGTCTGATGTATATTCCCGTGAAAGGAATTTGACTGATTCCCTAATTATTTTCTAACTTGCTGGTTGATTTCAGGTTGCAAACATTGAGCTGTATTACAAATCTATTCACTTCTACCTGGACTACAAACCCATGCTGCTTAACGATTTACTCTTAGTTCTTATACCGCGTATGGATCACACCAGGGCTGTGTCGTTATTCACCAAAGTTAATCAGCTGCCATTAGTTAAACCATACATCCGTCAAGTACAAAGTCATAACAATAAAGCTATCAACGATGCATTAAACAACCTTCTGATTGACGAAGAGGACTACCAAGGTCTTAAAGCCTCCATTGATGCCTTTGACAATTTTGATAATATTGCACTTGCCCAGAGGTTAGAAAAACACGAGTTGTTGGAGTTCCGACGAATTGCTGCATACTTGTACAAACGCAATAACCGATGGAAGCAGTCTGTAGAACTCTGCAAACGGGATAGGCTTTTCAAGGTAGGAAAACTTTAAATGTACTATGACATTGTTGACCAGAACTTGACCAAGCTTCCCTCAAATACAGCATCCTCCAGGGAATAAATCATGCCATTTAGTCAGTAACATACCTGGGTGAGGATTGATTTATCCCTCAATGCAATTAAATTCATAACGGACTGATTCTGCTGTAACAACCCACGCAACTGCTGGTTATCATTTAGTTAAAAATAAATGTTATAATTTGTTTTACAGGATGCAATGATTTACGCAGCGGAATCACGAGATACAGACTTATGTGAGGAATTACTTAGTTGGTTCTTAGAAGGCAAGAATTATGAATGCTTTGCTGCATCCTTGTTCTCATGTTATGATCTTTTAAGACCTGATGTCATCTTAGAGTTGGCATGGAGACATAAAATCATGGACTTTGCTATGCCCTATATGGTACAAGTAATGAGGGAGTATTTAACAAAGGTAAGCATCTCACTACCAATGGAACTGCTTTGTGTGCTTGTGATCTGTTCTCTGCAGAACTAATATATTTTTTTAATGTTTGTTCTCAAATTTTGATCAAATCCTGTAGCCAATAGGAAATTATGTCCATTTCCTTCAAAATTATCAAGGAAGTTGTAGAAAAATAGGCAATAGTGTTGCTTGGAAAAATTGTGATGTTCAAAGGATTGAACGGCTTATGAAAGATTTAGTATTCTCGTATCCAGTCTTCAAAATAGTTGCACATATTTAGGTTAAAACAAAAATAAAATGTTGGTGAGATTATGGCTTAGTTGCTTTGCTGTATAGCTTCATTCTCATTGTACCTATGTTGTTTATTTGTTTTTGTGGCTGAAACCATGTACTCCTCACAGATATCGACATATCCAGTGACAGCATGCAGATTTGCATATAGTTTTTTAGTTGCATGTTCATGAGTATGAAAGAGCTTGCTGATGATAGTTCTCTGTTAACAGGTGGATAAATTAACTGAGTCAGAAAGTATCAGGAAAGAAGAAGCAGAGGCCCAAGAAACGCAGCCCATAGTTTACAGTAAGTTTTCATCATCATGCTGTTGTATTTTAAGTGCTAATAGTGTTGCTGATTTTGCTGCATATTTTGTTTGATTTCTGTGATTGTCATTTCATGGTATTTGTTTTGAGTGTTTATATTCATTGTTTAGCTTTAAAATAGATATAATTTCCTCATCCCAATAAATGTCTGACACAACAAAAAATTTTGATAATACTTTGGGATTTTAAAATCATGTTCCTGTTCAAATCATATCTGAAGATCCTCTGATTTTAAAATGGGGTTTCAGCATTGGTATGTTGGATCATATGTGTACATACTTACTTGTAAATACAATAAAAGTAGAAATTTAAATATTTAAATTAAAATGTTGGTAACAAGTAATTAGCTTTTGAAAGTGGCAGCCCTCAGTTGTGAAACCCTAGTATTAGTTATGGTTAATATACACTCAGAGTACGTACTAATTCCAAATGTTTACACAGCAGCTAGACCAAGTTGTGTCCGTGCATGGTAACGCTCTGTTGTCAATACAGTTTGTTTAGTAGCTCTGATTTCTCAGTTTGATAGCCAGGAACTATGGAACTTTTTTTTTTATAAGTATGTATTTATGTTTAAATAATTCAGTAAACTGGATTCTTGTGTTTTTGTAATAGTATAAAAGTTTAAGTTAAGATGCAGTTATTAGTCCCCGTTCGAACTTGTGTTTTGACCTCTGTGTGTGCGTGCGTGCATCCGGACCTGTATCTTAGAAATGCCTGGACCAATCACAATCAACTTCACACGTACATCATACATGATATTATACATATGCACATCAATTTGTTTCACGGTCTGATTCAAGATGGCTGAATGATGGCCATTTTTGTGCTAAAAATCATCAAAATCAAGCATTTCTCGGCTGTTTACAGATAGATTTTGTTCAAACTTGGTATATACATAAACATTATAGGACCTTGATGCACATCATTTTGTTTTACGATCTGATTCAAGATGGCAGAATGGCGGCCATTTTTCTGCTAAAAAATCCTAAAAATCAACCATTTCTCGGCTGTTTACAGATGGATTTTGTTCAAACTTGGTATATACATAAACATTATAAGACCTTGATGCAAATATTTTTGTTTTTCAGATAAGATTCAAAATGGCCGACTGGCAGCCATTTTGTAGTAATGAATGTGGTTCTTGTGCCATATCTCTGACTTGCTTTCACTGATTATGTTCAAATTTTAAATATTTATTATACATCATGTTATAGATAAGATATATTTTTTTGACGATCCTATTCAAAATGGCCAAATGGTGGCCTTTTTTGTGCTGAACAATCATCAAATATCAAGCATTTCTGGCATTTATGGATGGATGGATTTCGTTCAAACTTGGTACATATATTAGACATTACAGGTTCCTGATGCACATCATTTATTTTTCAGATCGGATTCAAAATGGCTGTCTGGCGGCCATTTTGTTTTAATGAATGGGCTTCTAGACCCATATCTACGACTTGTTTTGACTGATAATATTTTCAAATTTTAAATATTCTTTATACATCATGTCATAGTTAAACAGATATATTGGTTTGACTATCCTATTTAAAATGGCCGAATAGTGGTCATTTTTGTGCTAAAAAAATCATCAAATATCGAGCATTTATGGGTGGATTTTGTTCAAACTTGGTTCATACATTATACATTAAGAGTTCCTGATGCACATCATTTTATTTTTCAGATTGGATTTAAAATGACTGACTGTTGGCCATTTTGTTTTACTGATTGGGCTTCTAGAGCCATATCTCTTAAATGCTTTGACTGATTATATTCAAATTTTATATATTCGTTATACATCATGTTATATATATACATGTATTCAAAATGGCTCATTTTGAATGCTGTTCCAGAGCAATATCTCTCAATATGGACAAGTACTTGTTTGACGATCAGATACAAATGTCAATCATTTCAATGTTAAAAAAATCATATTACTATATATCTTAAATTTGATAACTAACTGGGACTGTGCCATGCATGGCTTGTTTTATTTATGGTTGTATACCATGCCATGTGAAATGCTTTATCTTGCATGGATTGGTACTGGTGATGTGTGAATATTGTTTATACCAGCACAGTAGTTGTAATCTGTATTTGTGCTTTTCAGGTGAACCTCAACTAATGATCACTGGAGGTGGCCCAGCCATGGGAATGCCCCCACAGATGGGAATGCCACCACAGGCAGGAATGCCACCACAGGCTGCAATGGGCATGCCTCCCCAAGCGATGATGGGCCAACCGCCGCAGCCAGGGTTTGGCTATGGAATGTAGTCTACAATGTTTATTAAATAGGAAAAAGGACAGGAAAATTTGGTCATACGTGTTAAGATCGGGTTGCTGGGATCTGTCTCTATTTGTAGGGGGTGGCACTATTTTAGCGCGTACTATTTGTGTTTATATTGGTTTTCTCGGATGTGCAAATATAAGACTTGTCGCTATGTAATGAACTGTAAGAATTATGTCCTGCATGTTTGCAATACAAATTGAATGAAACTTGTGGTTGATTGATTTCTATCCAAATCAATGTTTAAATGCTTGTAAGATTGGTGTGATTTGTTTTTATTGTTCAGTCTTTTATCTTCTTTCTGGCCAAGTTTTTCATTCATTAAAGATAAGTAGTGACATTTAGCGAGACTCACTTGAAAAATTGCATGGCATTTGTGTTAGTTGCATTTTTTACTTGACATAGTGCTGAGGTAAGTATCTATCCACTATTTGCCCACACGTTAGTTCAATTTAGTTGCTGTACCAACGCAAATAATGCTTTTTTTTTGCCAACAATGCTTATTGATTTGGCACACTTACAGCCATAGTGGACAATGTACATGCATATGCGTGTTTATAATTTCTTAGTATATTCTCGGTCCTGTATAAAGTGACAAATTCCTGTCCGTTTGTTTCTATCAATGAACAAAGAACGTACAAGGCACACGCGGATGCGCTTGTTGGCAAGGGATCATTGTCTTTTAGAACACCAGATTAATTTATTGGAGTCCACCAGCATTTAAGCACGTAAATTGTATTCTTCAGTTTTCAATTTAACTACTAAAAAATATATTTGACATTGTAAAAGAAAAAACATACCTACCATATGGACATGTTTTTTTCAGATTTTAGTATTTCATTGTATGAATGTGCTTTTGTTAGTTTAACATGTGATAGCATACTATTATGAATCAATGAGGTGTTAGATAGCTCTTGGCGACCTTTGCGGTAAAGTAGTAAAACATGGTGTTGATTGAAATGCACTGTATATTTATCAGCAGTATATGTCTATTATGGTATATCATAAATCATTTGTGTAATTCCTTGTATACAAAATGTAGAATTATTCCACGTTTATGAAAATTAATAAAACAACATGTCAGTGGTAATATTAGTTGCATTTTTTGCTTTATCAGCTTTGATGTCATCAATCACTTTTTTAAAACCTGTACCCAAGTGCTTTGATGTTTTGTATACAAATACCTTGGTTCGTTTGTTGGTTGGTTGGTTCTCTCTGAGTTGTTCATTTTGTGTCAAATCATATTTTGTAGTTTGGGCCCAAACTGATATTTTCTCAAACTGCTTCTGAAAATTGTTTCAAATTTGGCATGCAAGAATCTTTGATGGACTGGCTTGAGATTTGATATTGATTGCAACTGAAGGAAAAATGGTCTGCAAAGAAGGTGAAGCTCTTTTGAATGTAATCTAAAGGTGTCTTGTTCTAGTATCTTTGTCCCTATCCATGCAGTGAACCAAGTTATATTTTCATTCAAGTCTCTGCCCCACATTTGATGTAAATGGGCAGTTCATGTTTCAAGTATCGCCGTAGCAGTTAACAGATAGTGCACATTTCATTAAAGACTCTGTGCACACA